GCACAGTGTACATTGGTGCCATCAGGGTATAGGGGCACAGAACCCATCTGGATCTCAGGAGTGACAGGGGGATGCCAAGAATTATCTGTATTGGAGGCTGAGGTGAGCCTAACAGGGGATGGATGGGAAAAGCACTCCATTGTGACTGGGCCAGAGGCCCCTTGTATCCTTGGCATAGACTATCTCAAGAGAGGGTATTTCAAGGACCCAAAGGGATATCAATGGGCTTTTAGTGTAGCCACTGTGAACCCCAAGAAGATCAAACAACTATCTACCCTGCCTGGCCTCTCGGGGGATCCATTCATTGTGGGATTGCTGTAAGTTGAAGAACGGCATGTGCCAATTGCTATCAGGACGGTGCACCGACGACAATATTGTACCAACTGAGACTCCTTGGCACCCATCCGTGAGCTGATTCATCAACTGGAGAGACAAGGAGTCATCAGCAAGACTCATTTGCCTTTTAATAGCCCCATATGGCCGGTGCAAAAATCTGACAGAGGGTGGAGGTTAACAGCAGACTATCATGGCCTGAACGAAGTGATGCCACCACTGACTGCTGCTGTACCAGACATGCTGGAGCTCCAATATGAACTGGAGTCGAAGGCAGCAAAGTAATATGCTACGACTGATATTGCCAACGCATTTTTCTCAATGCCTTTGGCAGCAGAGTGCAGGCCACAGTTGGCTTTCACATGGAGGGGTATCCAATATACCTGGAATTGACTGCCCCAGAGGTGGAAGCACAGCCCTACCATTTGTCATGGACTAATACAAACTGCACTGGAAAAGGGTGATGCCCCTGAACATCTACAATACATTGATGACATCATCGTGTGGGGTGATAAGGCAGAAGAAGTGTTTGAGAAAGGAAAAAAAGTAATTCAAATTATTCTGAAAGCTGTCTTTGCCATAAAGAAGAACAAAGTTAAGGGACCTGCACAGGAGATTCAGTTCTTAGGAATAAAATAGCAGGATGGACGCTGTCATGTGCCTATGGATGCGGTCAACAAGATAGCAACTATGTCTCCACCAGCTAACAAAAAGGAAACACAAGCTTTCCTAGGCCTTGTGGGGTTCTAGAGAATGCATATTCCAGGTTATGATCAGCTTGTGAGTCCTCTCTATCGAGTAACACGAAAGAAGAACTGTTTTGAGTGGGGCTCTGAGCAACAAGCCTTTGAGCATATCAAACAGGAAATAGCTCGTGCAGTAGCTCTTGGGCCTGTCCAGACAGGACCAACTGTGCAATACAAAACTCTACACTGCAGCTGGGGAGCATGGTTTCACCTGGAACTTCTGGCAGAAAACATCAGGAGAAATCTGAGGTTGACCATTAGGGTTTTGGAGCCGAGGATATGGAGGATCAGAAGCCCACTACACCCCGATTGAAAAGGAGATACTAGCAGCATATGAGGGGGTTCGAGCTGCTTCAGAAGTTGTTGGTACAGAAGCATCTCTCCTCTTGGCACCACGATTGCCTGTGTTACACTGGATGTTCAAAGGAGACATGCCTTCTACGCATCATGCAACCAGCACTACATGGAGTAAGTGGGTAGCATTGATCACCCAACGAGCTCGACTGGGAAAACCCAACTGTCCAGGAATCCTGGAAGAAATCATGGACTGGCCAGAAGGCAGAGATTTTGGAGCATTGCCTGAGGAGATGGCTCGTGCCCAAGAGGCACCACCATATAATGAGTTATAAGAAGATGAAAGGCGTTATGCATTGTTTACGGATGGATCCTGTCGTGTGGTAGGAAACGGTCGGAAGCGGAAAGCTGCTGTGTGGAATCCCACACGACAAATCATTGAGGCTGATGAAGGAGAAGGCGAGTCAAGTCAATTTGCTGAAGTAAAAGCTATCCAACTGGCCCTGGAGATTGCGGAGAGAGAAAAGTGGCCAGTACTCTATCTCTATACTGATTCCTGGATGGCGGCTAATACCCTATGGGGTTGGCTACAGCAGTGGAAGAAGACTAATTGGCAGCACAGGGGTAAACCCATCTGGGCTGCTGCACTATGGCAGGATATTGCTGCCCGGGTAGAAAACATGACTCTAAAGGTACATCATGTAGATGCTCACACGCCCAAAAGCCGTGCCACAGAAGAACATCAAAACAACGAACAGGTAGACAAAGCTGCCAAAATCAAAGTAGCTCAGGTGGACTTGGACTGGGAGCATAGGGGTGAGCTATTTGTAGCTCGATGGGCCCATGAAACATCCAGACATCTAAGAAGAGATGCAACATACAAATGGGCTTGTGATCGAGGGGTGGACCTGACCATGGAGGCCATTATGCAGATTATGCATGAATGCAAAACATGTGCTGCGATCAAGCGAGCCACAAGAGTAAAATCTCCCTGGAATAGAGGGTGGTGGCTGGGTTTTCAATATGGTGAGGCCTGGCAAATTGACTATATTCGACCACTGCCACGAACACATCAAGGCAAGCGCTACATACTCACCATCGTGGAAGCAACTACCAGTTGGCTAGAAACATACCCTGTAAACCATGCCACTGCCCGAAACACCATCTTAGGCCTCGAAAG